TCTTACCAAATCAATGGTAAGATAACACCATTAAAAGGAAGAAGAAAAGAACAACTTAAGACCTTTCGAGTAGATAGATTCGCTCTTAGTTACTCGCTTGCTCACGACAAAAACTTTTACACTTACACCTCCTTTTCAAAACACTTTCAAAAGACAAAACATTTTGTATACATTCTTATAGAGACGAGAACCATTGCAAAACTTATTTTCAAAACACTTTTCGAAACACGATTCACAAACACCTCTTTGAACTAGTTTTTGAAACAAAACTTTGTATATGTTCTTATAGAGACGAGAACCATTGCAAAGAAACTTTCCAAAATACTTTCAAAAACCACACCACAAGCACACAATCAAACAAAAGCAAGTGATCTAAACGAGTAACTAAGAGACCATGGAAAACCATGGATGAAAAGAGTGCTAGCACCTTCTCTTTTCATAATCTACCCCCCAAACCCGAGAAAATTCTCGAAAGGTCTTTCCTGTGCTTTTTTACCTTTCGTTTTGGATAAAAGAAAAGTCAGTGGCGACTCTTGCTAACCACACAAGTGCGAACAAAACGCAAAACCTCAAGTCATTTCTCCCACCGCATCACAGTAAGGTACCACACACTCAAGTGGTATATGGTACATCATAAGGTATGATGCCTATAGGCTTAATTGGGCTTTTAGCTTGCAGCCTTAATTGGGATTTTAGCTTGCAGCCCACACAAGTGGTTATATAAATATAACCCTTGTGCTGAAGCATTTTCACTTGATGAAAATTAGGTCTTAAAACCCTAGCCGTATTTTCTCTCACTCTCTCATTCAAAGTTATTATTTGTAAGCAGCTAGCACTGTGACTAGAAGTGATATGTTTGTGTGGATGGAGTAGAGGCATTGTTCTTCATCAATGCTCGTGATCACAACATCAAAGGTCTAAATCACCACAAGAGGTAATATTTTATATCACTGACCATGCTCACTCGTAAGGATCACTAAAGGAAAATTTTAATTTTCGTTGCATTTTAAATCACGATTTTCCTTCAGGAGTGGTCAGGCTGTTAGACATGGACTAATTAACTACCTCAACCTTCATGGTGAGAGAGTAAGGCAACTAGAATTTCCAAGATTTTAGACTTGAGGAATTGAACCTTTTATATGGTCTTTATAGCCTAGGGAGTCCAAGAGACACTTGTGATGTAGCAGCAAGGGAGTTTTGTGAAGGTGCCGAGCTTGGAGTCGGTATGATTCACTGATCAATTGTGGTTACCAATGACGGATAGTACATGAAAACCTATTGGATAAAAAACCTTTGAGAGTTTATACAGAGAGACTGTACCTTTATGGTTGCTCTAATACGTGGAAAGTGCTTGAATTTAAGAGGTGTTAAACCCTGACTCTATTTAGTATACCGTAAGTGATAAGTAGTGATCTGGTAAAGGAGTCGACAAAAGTTATGAATGAGGTGATCTCTAATTATGGAATATCTTGTGTGTGCCATGTGTGGGTGAGTACACATGGAATAACAATTTCGAACTGAATTTGTATCAAGTTGAATCTAACTTGTTGCTTTCAGAGTAAGTAAACCTTGGACGTGTTGTACTCTTAGGTTTTAGTATCCTGAAGAGTGGGACTGGAATAACTTGAAGGGCAATGACCTCAGTGAAGACTTGTTCATTTATTCGTTTGTCGTGACTATAGGATACAGATGGAGATCGTTATATGATACTGGGTAGTTCATTTAAGTACATGGCCTCGAAGTTGGACCACCATGTTAGTACTACCAGACAGGTATAATGCTGCATTATCGCTATTATGTACGAGATGAGTGAGTTATCCTTCTCTGTTAAATATGAGATGATGTTGGTCCTGATCTTAGTGTAGAATTCTAATTACGTACTCATGAGACGTGGATTTGAAATCTCGTAAGGTAAGTGTGATGGTTAATTATCCATATGTCGCGCTCGACAATTGAGGATTATATATGTGAGAGACAATGAGATGGATCAGATTCTGATGCTACGCTTATGATGAGACGTTGAGTGGTTGTGATCGCGTGAGTAATATTAGATTATATTTGTGGATGATTCTTGTTCCGTCAGTGTGTTAGTGAATCCTTGTGCGTAAATGCCTGAGATGGGATTTATGCGTGAATGTTGTATCCTTCCAGCATATGGTGTGGCTATTCTTTGACGTTTTGTAATTAGTGTTAGAATAAATGGGGTATGTCTTGGATTGGCTCAATGAGAGATGTATCTAGAGGAGTATCTGTATACCCTTCAAACATCTCAGTCTCTCTGGGATCCACCATAATTTTGAGAAGGATTGTTGATGAACTAGTATAGAAGAGACACTATGGTTGATGTGTAATCAGATGTTTCATGGGCTAGCTAATGAACATGTGAATAGCAAGGATTGGATAAAGTGTCATGATCATTGGAGATACTAGAGACAAGTAAAAGACTTTACTCGAAGTGGTCTTATTGTGATCATGTCTTATGCACTTAGCGAGAGTGCATGGAAAATTTGGGCGACGTTGTAGGATAACTGTTAAACTCACTTTTCATTGACAAGATTTTGTGTAAAGTTGTTAGCTATCAAGACTATTAGTTGTAGAAATTGTACACTATTGGGGCTTTTGGTGTCAGTTGTTCCAACCAAGATCGAAGGAATGATCGAAGTGGGAAAGCTTTTATTATATAATGAAGGTAATCTTGGAACCAACCATCATAAGAATTCGGGAATTGGTAGTCAAGGCCAAAGAATTTAGCAAACACTTGTATGACTCCATATGGACTCATGTGGAGATGAATCTAAAATATCATCGTTAGAGATGAAAGTTGCAGTAGGAATTTCTTAGATTGGAGGTAAATCAAGGAATCAAGAGAAAAGAATAGGGAAACAATGACATGTGTTTAGGAAATTAATGAGCTCGACAAAGGTTGAAGATGATAGATTAGCAACTAGAATAGAATGCATTGATTTGAGAAGCTATGAAGATTCACTACAAGAAAGTAAAGGTTACAGTCCTTGGAAGGATTCATTTCTAAGTATAACAAAGTGGCACATTAGAAGAGGTGTGTTGTGTAAGAACTAAAGTTACCACTAAAGAGACACTAGGACATAAGTATATCAAAAGGTTATGCTTTTGGAACGGAATCACATCATGGCATAGCCGTCTAGTTATCCAAAGGAGGAAGGTACGAAGCATTTCATCCTCCTGTTAAAAGAAAATATAAGGAGATTTGTTGATACTTGATTGGAAGAAATTTGAGGACAAATTTCAATTTAAGGGGGGGGGGGGGGGGGGGAGTTTAATACCCCAACTTAAATTGCAAGAAGATTAATGTCTTAAGTTGCAAGTTGGATAAAAAGGGCATTTTGGGAACAAATGTAAATTGAGGGAATAATAGTCATTATAACTTAAGGCACTTCTTCTATCAAGTAGAAATCTTAAGGATTTGTTTAGGATGGAACAAAATGGCCAATTTGTAAATATTGCATGGTTGGAGGGCAAAGTTGTACTTTCACCCAAAATGCCTATTTAAGTAACTTGGTTCCATTTTTTCTTAGCATTTGGATCACACTTTTAATCTACAAATAATAATTTGAGAAAGGATATTGAAGGAGAGAAAGATAGAGCTCGTGAGAGAGGGAAAGGAAAGGAGAAGAAGAATACAATCAAATTTTAAGCTTCATCATTCCACTCCTTGCATGCATGATCCTTGAGTATTCTTGAAGAAGGGGATTTCAAGAATGAAGATTGGAAGTTGTAATCATCCTTCCCTTACAAATCATAATCTCCACGACAAGAGGTGAGTTCCATTAGTTAGATACTTGGGTAGGAATTGGGCTGAATTGCATGTTAAATAGGGTATTATGATACTTGCCTGAAATGTGTCAGTGAGTTGATTATGATCTAGATCTTGAGGTTGCATGTACTGATTTGTATGGGGTTTGGTTGCTTAAAAATGTTGTTGTATATTAGGGGATGGATGGGTGATGAATTAAGGTGCAAAAAAGGGTGTTAGAACCCTAATTTATGTGGAAGTTGTTGTCACATTCGCTTAGCGAAAACAGCAGGCTGAAACAAAATTGTGTTTCCACTTAAACGAGTATATCTTGAGTTTTACAACTCAAAATGAAGCATGGTCAGAAGCATTAGAAATCTCTTTCGATGCTCCTTCTTAATATGGGTAGATATCATGCTTTTATGCCTGCTTGTGATATGTGACAAATAAATGTTTAATTTCATGATAGTGGACAAGAATAATTGCTTGATAACATGTCTATGAAATGCTACTCCTTGTGTTAATATCATGCCCTGATGTCAATCCCTTGTTTTATACATGATTATTTTCCTCTTGACTTGGTTAGTGGATACATGTCGTGGCTATTGAGTTCTGATATATTTGGGAAGTTCTTGTTTTTCTTAGTTGTAGGACCTTCTCTTAGCGAGGACGGGTCTCGCTGAGCGAGCTACCTGTTTTCAAAACTAGGCTTGCCTCTATCAGAGCTCGCTAGGCTTCTCTTAGCAAAGTGGAACTTGTTGCTGGTTCTCTAAGAGAACATGCCTTTTTTAGGAACATTCAGGTTCTGCCAGGCCTCGCCGAGTCCTTGCTAGGTCTCGCTAAGCGAGCCTTTATTAGCATAATTTTATCTCTTTTCCCCTTGAGTGCAGTTTTGTTTCATGATGCGGACGAGACGCCCCTTTTATATTGTATCACTAATCTAAGGCATTATAAATTGATGAATATGGTGATGTTGAATACATGTTCCTCCATTTGTTCCAGATAAACGTTCGAAGATGTTTGCTTGATATGGTTTGATGCATATTGTGATGTTGATCACTTGTTTCCCATTCATTTCAGTTGAACGTTCAGATGTGGTTGTGATCTATGCTTGAATCGAAATAGGCATAAGTTACTAGGTGGTAAATCACTTGGAGATACCGGACCGGGTTCGGGTGTACACACTTAAGCTATCGATATGGTGGGTTATGGGACCTAACAAAGCGGATTACTCACTTGGATACTCACCTGGATTATCGGTATGGTGGGGGTCGTGAGGCCATGTAGGCAATATCACTTTGTTACTCACCTTTAGCAGGTTTGTGTAGCCACATAAGCATAAACCACTTGGTTTCAGATTAAGTTTCGAGGTACTCGCTAGTGCTTTCGCCCAGTGGACTCGTGCAGTCATGTAGGCATATTTGCACTTGAAGTTAACACACATGCATGTTGATGATTGACGGGGTCACGATGCCACTTAGGAAATTTCACTTTGTTCCAGATTGAGTTTCGATGAACTCATCGCAGATGGGCTTGTGTGGCCATATATGCGTAATTCACTTGGTTTCAGATTGAGTTCTGATGACTCATTTGATTCATCGTACGGTGTGCTTGTGCAAGTCTCTTGATGCTAGGCACTTGGTTACTCATCGGGAGTGTGCTTGTGTGGCCTAGGTAGGTGGGTATGTACTTTATATTTTATTAATTTGTAAAAAGTTTCAAATTATTATTATAAATTATTAATAATATTTGATTAAAATATTAAAAATCAAATCATTGTAATTAGTTTTAGTTAAAAATTGGTAATCAATTGAAAACAAAAGAAAATATTTAAGAGTATAAAAGTCAAATATATTTAGTGGATATAATTTTTCTTTAATGAGCCATTTTAAATATCAATGCATAATTGTAAAAAAATCAAAATAAAGAAAATTTTATGAGTGCTTCATTGAAAATAAATTGAAATAAAGAAAAATTTATGTTAATTTTTATTATTAATTAATGAAAGTTTTTGTCATGGATAAATGTGCCATATTTGACTCTTATTACATATATAAAAAAAGACGTAAAACATTCAAATTGAAAAGATAGTAATAATTCAATTTCTTTAATTTTTAAATAGGACAAATGTGACTCTTTGGTGATGTGTATTGCCACCCTCAAGATCAATTGTGTTTGAAGATTCCAAACTCACAGCCCTTCACTTTTTAAGTAACTTATTAGTTGGAGTGTGTTAAGAATCTACAACAACCATTTCATCTTTGATGTTTGAATCACCACCACCTTCAATTACCTCATAAATTACATTTTAGAGTAAGGTTTTTAGTATTTATTGTTACATAAAATAAAAATAAACAAATGATAATTGAAATTTGTTACAAAGAAAAATATTATACCAACGGGTTCTCATTAGCTAGTTTATTCATTTGTTCAACATATCCAGCTTCCTCTTCATTATTACTCATTTGTGATAAACCATAATTCAATTAATTATAAATAATAATTGATAAATTAAATTACATAATTTTTTATTCATATCTTAATCCTATTAAGGGATATAAATTGCTTGATAATGTTACTATCTTCGGTCAGTGTTTTCACCATATAACTACGCCAATTATGAAATGAGTTGGTATCGCTAACTTCAACTTTAAACAATATACATTTGTCAATGAATGTATCCCAATCTGATGGATAATCATTAGTATTGCTTCCATATAACTATATCAATTATATATAGTGTCTTATATGCTTCATTTGTAGTTTAACTCATATAAAGAAGGTATCAATGTAATAAAATAAAGAGATAAATTATATATATAGTCCAATTAACCAACTTAATCCATAGAATGAAGTATATCTTGTATATTTATTACTAGCACTTGAGACATAATACGATCAAACAAAATAAAAATTGTTGATCGTGTCTTATCTATGACCTGTATATGAACCTAAAACCTGTAAATTCAAAGATACACAATATTTTTCTTTAACAATATGTATTAAAGTAATTCAAAGTAATTTATTATTAAAAATTATTTTACTTACCTAGTGTGATACGGTGGGAGAACTGACTTGAGGTTTTGTGTTTGTTTTCGCAAATGTTGCAATTTAGTAAGAGACACCACCGACTTTTCTTTTATTCAAAAGAAAAGGTGAAAAAATACAGGAAAGACCTTTAGAGATGTTTTCTTGAGTTCGGGGGATAAATTATGAAAAGGGAAGGTGTTAGCACCATTTTCATCTATGGTTTTCCATGCACTCTTAGTTACTTGCTAGATCACTTGTTTTTGTTTGAATGTGCTTGTGGTGTGGGTTTTGAAAGTATTTTGAAAACATCTTTGTAATGGTTCTCGTCTCTATAAGAACGCATACAAAGTGTTTGTTTGAAAAATAGTTTCAAAGATGTGTTTGTGAAATGTGTTTTTGAAAGTGATTTTGAAAATGTGTCTTTGTAATGGTTCTCGTCTCTATAAGAACGCATACAAAGTGTTGTCTTTCAAAAATGTTTCAAAATGAAAGTATGGGTGTATGAAATGTTTTTGTCGTGAGCAAGCGAGCAACTAAGAGCGAACCTACCTACTCAAAAGGTCTTAGATGTTCTTTTCCTCCTCCTTTAGATGTTGCTATCTTACCATTGATTTGGTAAGAAGCCCCATCGTTGGATATGAAGGGACGAGTGTGGGACGTTTGTATAGTCATAGAAGGCAACCCATGGAACGTTTTAGCAATGTCGTTTTAGGGACTAGATCGTTTACCGAAGGCAACATCGAGGGTCATCGGAGGACTACGATCTTTTATCGAGGGTCTTTGCTAAAACGCCCATGTTCGAGGGACATGACTAATTTTTCGATAGACAACAAAGTGGGATTACCCTAAGGGTGTTAGTGTGCAAGTGTGTTTGATTTACATGCATTTAGTCTTGATTAGGGTTATCCATTTGTCAATTTCATGTCTTGTTATACACACCCTAATTACTAGCAATATATGAAAGTAATAAAAAATGCGGAAAGTAAATATCCTACGCTATTATAATCATTAGGGAAATGGGGTGTACAATTTTATGAATGGGGGTTGCAAGTAAAAATAAGTCCTAAGTTACTATTACAACCATATTAAAATGTACAATATAAGAAAGAAAAAAGATTTGTTTAGAAAATGGTTTTTTTGTCTTAAAAAAGGAAATAAATTAAAAGAAAATATTTTTATGTCTTTTTATGTAATATTAAAAATGATGAAAAGGGAAATAAACGAAAGACAAAAACAACGTGCTACTGCAAGCAAAACAAACAAGGACCAGAAGTTCTGAAGTCAGGCGCGTGATGACTCAGAAAGGAATGTCAATGGAATCAGAAGTTGAGTTGGTACATTCTGAGGTCTTGCAAGGAAAGTTATAGGGAAAACATAGAGATTATGGATGGTATTCAGACAGTGAGCCACAAGTCATAAGTTCTGTATTACAATAAAACAGTGAGTAAACTTCAAAAATTCAGTGTATTTGACATGTAAGGAGAACTCAGAAGTTCTGTGCTGTGTTAGAACAATGAGTGAATCATCAGAAGTTCTGTATTGTGCTAAGCCAATGAGTGAACATCAGCAGTTCAGTGCATTATCAGTATGTAAGAATGAGAAGTTCAGTGTGTGTTAATCAGTGAGTGAATCATAGAAGTTCTGTGTGTTATCAGCATGTAAAAATCAGAAGTTCTATGTTACATTTCAACGCTTTTCTCATATTAATCAGCACGTCAGCAACTTATTCAGTTCTTATTAGACAGCAAATCAGAAGGATATCAGCACAACCGTTTATAGAAGTTCTAATCCTAAATCTGAGTCTTAGCCTTAATCAATAAACTTTTATCCACAGTTTTTTCTACTTATGCAATGATATGAGCAACACCAATACTATGATACTTACATGTTTAATGATGTTCTGAATGAAAAAGATGCAAAGTGAGAAAGACTTACCTTGAACCTGGATCGTGGGCTTGGAGCTTTGAGTTGCTGCCTTTGGATGTTCTGGAATCAGCAAGAGCAACAGAAGAGAAAATGCCAAGTTCTTTGATTCAAAAGGAAGAACAAAGGTTTGGTTTTTTGTTTGGGATTTCTGGATTTTTATGAAGGGGTTCCACATATTTCTTTTCTCTCTTTTGACGATTCCCTCTCCAAAAGCCAGCCCCTTGAAAGTGTGATGGAGCAACTTATTTATAGATGGATTCATTGTGATTTTGGGGGGAAATACAAATGGGATTTCAATCAATTTGGCATCTTGTTCCCTTGGGTTTTCATCATTGTTTTCGTATGCTAGTTTGGTGTAATTATGGGATGCAGGATGTGATACGGTGGGAGAGAACTGACTGTTTTTGGAATGCTGGTTTGTTTTTTGCGTTTATTTTTGCAAAATGTCGCGGTAAGCAGGAGTCGCCACCGTCTTTTATTTTATCCAATAAGGAAAGGAAAAAAACACATAAAAATTCCTTTTTCGAGATGTTTCTCGGGTCCGGGGGGTAGATTATAGAAAGGGAAGGTATTAGCACCCCTTCTATCTGTGGTTATTTACGGGCTCTTAGGTACTTGCTCAAAGTGTTTTCAAAATTTGCTTTTCTTTGTGTTTGTGGGTTTGAAAGAAGTTTTTTATTTGAAAGGTGTAAGTGCGAAAAGTTTTATTTTATTTTGAAAGAGCAAGTACTTAAGAACCATCTACCTACTCGAAAAAGGAATCAATTTGTGCTAATGTCCTTTAGACAATGCTATCCCACTATCGATGAGTAGGTAGCACCGTCGTTGGAGTTTGAAGGGTCATTTCGATTAAGGTACGTGTGGTCACTAAAGCAATGTTATGATGCCTTAGCGGTAACCCTAATGTCTTAGATCATTTTTCCGAGGCAACCGTTTCGAGGCAACTATGATCTTTGGACAAGAGGGCGACCTCTAAAACTTCCTATATGCAATGACCACGTTCGAAGGCAACCAAGCGAGGTGTACCCTAGGAGTGCGCATGTGCGAGTGTGTTATTTCGGTTAATTTTATCTTTGTACATGTCAATGATTATCTATGTTGATTTTAAGTTCATACATTCGATCTTGTCATGCATTCCCTATTATCAAACATCTAACAGTTAATAATTTGCGGAAATTAAATCGCGGAAATTAAATCTAAACTATTACAAGGCGTCGGGTATTTACATCGCCAAAAACAACCTTTGAAATTAAAATGCGGAAAGTAAATAAAGCGATAAAATAAAGTCCTATTAAAAGCTATTACATTCCGGGAAAGAATTACATCAATATGGCAAAATAGATCGCGTGTGGAAAGTTAAATCGAATGCGAGTTTTTTAGGGTTTTGACCTCTTTTTTGAAAGGAAGCCTTTTTTTGGTTTATTTTTGAATTAAAAAAGAAATTAGATCTAAGTTAATTAAATAAATAAATAAATAAATAAATTAAAA